GACAGGTCTATGCCTTCCTCCAAAGATGATTTTGACGCCTTCAAATTCAAAGGGCAGAGTGGGATATTGAAAAGTACACAATTTTCAAGAAGCAGGTAGGGAAAAATAGTCATTCATGCCTTTGTCTGGCTCAGTGAATCTGCATTATTATTATTATTTTACATAAGATGACACAGACAAATGGGGCAGAGGAATCTGCATTAATAAGTAAGACAACATAGACAAAACAGGGCAGGGAACACTCAGATACGCATTTGCATCTGGTGGTGGGGGTCGGGGGACTGTACCTGCAAACATAAGCTAACAGTTTACATTACCACGGTGAAATTTTAACAGAACCACCTTAGGGAAAAAATCTTGGAGCTCACTACGAATTTCCTTGTGGGCAAAATGGGGGGGGGGCATGTAGGTTTTCATCTTGTAGGCATCTTATTCAGGAACCAAAAGGGGAGGCAGGTTTGCCTGACCCAGTTCCCAGCTTAACTTTTCCCTTTGGCTTAATGAGTTTGGGGTTGCAAGATTTATTTTCCTTTCACGGTATGTAAGCCCAGGGTCTAGGGGTGATGGTTGGGGTTCGACCATCTTGGCTCACCACTGCCAGAGACACAGATGTGGTTTCTGTTCCTAAGTTCCTATCAAATGTTTCTCTCTAAGGAACTAGATTTGCCAGCCTCTTTCTTTGGCCTCTCAGCTTCCTCTGACTTTGGGGCAGATATGTATAGGCCTGGTCACTGAGGAACAATCACTAACCATTAGGAAAATGCAAATCAAAACCACAATATTATTTTATACCTACCAGGATGGCCATAATACAAGGTTGTGAAAAGAAACTTATCTTGGGTCCCTTCCAGCTAGGAACTGCTCATGGCAAATCTGCCTCCCATTCTAGTCAGTCATCCCTCTGCTCACTGAGATAGATGCATATCTGATTGCCTCCTTTGGAAAGGCTGATCAGAAAGTCAAAAGAATGCAACTGTTCATCCCTCACCTGTCTGTGACCTAGAAGCCCATTTCCTGCTTTGAGTCTTCCTGCCCTTGCTTCAAGTCGTCCTGCCTCTCCAGACTGAACCAATCTGCTTCTTACATATACTAACTGATGTCTCGTGTCTCCCTAAAATGTATAAAACCGAGCTGTGCCCTGACCACCTTAGGACTTCCTTAGGCTGTCACGGGCACATCCTCAACCCCGGAAAAATAAACTTTCTAAATTAATTGAGGCCTGTCTCAGATTTCTGGGGTTCACAAGGTACATAAATAACAAGTATGGGCAAGAATGTGGAAAAATTGAAACCCTCACACATTGCTGGTGAGAATGTAAAATGATGTAGCTACTCTGGAACACATTTGGCAGTACATAAAAATGTTAAACAGTTACCACATGAAAACTTAAGTCAGGCCAGGTGTGGTGGCTCACACCTGTAATCCCAGCACTTTGGGAGGCTGAGGCGGGTGGATCACCAGGTCAGGAGTTCTAGACCAGCCTAGCCAACATGGTGAAACCCCGTCTTTAAAAAAAAAAAAGAAAGAAAGAAAACTTAAGTCCGCACAAAAGCTTGTACATGAATGTTCATAGCATTCACTACTCATAATAGTCAAAAAATGAACAACCCAAATGTCAATCAACTGTTGGATAATAAAATGTAGTATACCCATATAATGGAATAGTTTTAAAATTTTTTGTTTTGTTTACGTAATGACACATTAATTAGCAATAAAGAATAGCTGCTGATGTCTGCTATACGAACCTTGAGAACATTATGTTAAATGAAAGAACTCAGTTACAAATGACTCTATATTTTGTGTTTTCATCTATATGGAATGTTTAGAATAGGCAAATCTATAGAGGCAGAAAACAGATTAGTGGTTGCCAGGGGCTAAAGGAATGGGAGGGAAGTGGGAAATGACTGTTAATGGGTATAGGGTTTCTTTTGGGGTGATAGCATTCTTCTAAAATTAGATTGTGGTATTGGTTCCACAACACTGAAAAACCACCTCACCTTAGATTGGCAAATTTTATAGTACATGGATTAGATCTCAACCAAAATGTTTAGTACAGATGTATCTGGAGATGGATAGTGGTGATCGTTGTGTAATATGAACGTACTTAATGCCCTTAAAAATTAAGGCGATATTATAAATAACACAATAAAAAATTGAATTTCAATAAATTATCTGGGAACATTTGAGTCTTATGCCTTAGCTTGGAACAACTGTTCTGTGACTAAAACGCTTGTGATGTGTTAAGCAACTGTGTTTATATCTGAACCATATGACTAACAAAATGATGTAATTTTTTAGAAGTCAATAACCTGACCTTAATAAGGGCTCAGATTTCTCCAGTGTGTACCTTGTGCCAATGAAGTACAGGGGATTTTGCTTCTTCATCCCATCTAACAGATGAGGACACTGAAGTTTATTGAGATAACTTACAGAAGGCACAGATGAACCTGAACACATCTTTATGAGCCCTCAATCACGATGCTTATATTCTGTGCCTCTGTTCTACTCAATTATAAAATGGAAGAGATTAAGATGATCTCTAATACCCTACCAACCTGAAATTCTTATTACAATAAAGCATTTCGTATATAATTGGGAAATATTCTGTATTATGTAATAAGCTTAATCTGCTGGGGCACGGTGGCGCGTGCCTGTAGTCCCAGCTACTCGGGAGGCTGAGGTGGGAGGATCGCTTGAGCCCAGGAGGTCTGGGCTGTAGTGTGCTAGGCCAATGGGGTGTCTGCACTAAGTTCGGCATCAATATGGTGACCTCCTAGGAGCGGGGGACCACCAAGTTGCCTAAGGAGGGGTGAACCGGCCCAGGTCAGAAATGGCACTGGTCAAAACTCCCATGCTGATCAGTAGTGGGATCACACCTATGAACAGCCACTGCACTCCAGCCTGGGCAACATAGCAAGACCTGGTCTCTATTTAAAAAAAAAAAAAAACAAAAAACAATCTGGCAGTGAGCTGCACTTGTGATTCTAACATTTAAATTGTGGGTGCATATTATCAAAGCACCTTACGGTGCTGTGCCCCAGAGGAAACCAAACGTAGAACCCATTTTTATCCCCAGGCCAGCAGGCTCTTCAGACTGCAGTTCTCACCATGCCACAGCCCATACGAGAGACACCACAGCATCTGCATGATTTTTTGTTGGGGGTGTTGTTGTTTTTGTTTTTTGGAGTTTTTTGAGATGGAGTCTCACTCTGTCACTCAGGCTGAAGTGGCGCAATCTTGGTTCACTGCGACCTCAACCGATTCTCCTGCCTCAGCCTCAGTCTCCTGAGTAGCTGGGATTGCAGGTGCGCCACTATGTCCAGCTAAATTTTTGTATTTTTAGTAGAGACGGGGTTTCACCCTGTTGGCCAGACTGGTCTCTAACTCCTGACCACAGGTGATCCGCCGGCCTCGGGCTCCCAAAGTGCTGGGATTACAAGCGTGAACTACAGCGCTCGGCTGTGATTTGTTTTAAATTTGTCATTCAAAGGACCACCAGGATGGCTAGACAGTAGACAAGAGTTTTACTGTCAATATCAGTTTGCAAGCCAGGGAGAGTCTCTAGCATGAACTCAAAGTGCTCTCTCAGAAGAACAAAGAGGTTAGAGGTTTTATTTTAAAAAGAGAAATGTTAACTTATTCCTCTTTGAGAAAGTTCATTGGCACTAGTAAGGGCATGGGGAGCTCTGGCCGGTGAGCCAAGCCACGGGGCAAGATCAGGCCTGGAGGTGCTGCAGGTTGTGCCGAGGCTATGAAATAAAACTGGCTTCAGATCCGGCGCAGCGGCTCCCTCCTGCAATCTCAGCGCTTTGGGAGGCCGAGGCAGGCGGGTTACTTGAGGTCAGGAGTTCGCGGCCAGCCTCGCCAACATGGCGAAACCCTGTCTTACTAAGCACAAAAACATTAGCCGGGCTGGTGCCTGTGGTCCCAGCTACTGTGGAGGCTGAGGCATGAGAGTCGCTTGATTCTCCCGGGAGGTGGAGGCTGCATTGAGCCGAGATCACACCACTGCACTCCAGCCTGGGCGGCAGAGGCTCCGTCTCAAAAAAACAAAGTAATTTTTTCTTTATAAAAAAGACAAAGAAGCCGGGCGCGGTGGCTCAAGCCTGTAATCCCAGCACTTTGGGAGGCCGAGGCGGGTGGATCACAAGGTCAAGAGATCGAGACCATCCTGGTCAACATGGTGAAACCCCGTCTCTACTA